CCCGGGGACTCGCTGGCTCGGCACCGCTGGGGAAGCGGGGAGGTAGCTCCGGGCAGAAGACGGCCAAGTTTCCCAGCGTAGGTCAGGTGCTGACAGAGGAAACAGCGTCAGCAGATTTGCTTCTGCACGTTCCCAGCCCTCTTCCTTCCCCCAGCTGGAGGTTTTTACCTCCTCAGTTATGCAAATACTGAATCATTTGCTTACGCCGCCAGGTTTTAAGAGTGGAGGAACAATAATATTTGTTTTCTGGTTCTGTTCTCCTGAATCGGTTGCAATTGTGCTTACAAAGCAGAACTGGATCCAACACAAAGTACGACCCAATGCAAAGCTCATCTGTACAACTGGGATTACACAGTTCAACTTTTCTCCTAATACCTTTTTCTACTCTGCTTTTCTATTCTTCATTCTTATATTAAAAATTCACTAACCAAACCAAATATGAATCAATAACCAACCAAGAGGCGAAGATAAGGTATGATCATTCTCCCTTTTTATAAAAATAACTTCCAATTAGCTTTACCCCACTTAGTTTATGTACTGATCTCAAATCTCACCTTCCAAAGGCGTAATGGTTTGCCACACTGTGAAGTAAGGAAGATTTTAAAAGTCGCAAATATCACAAATCTATTTAAAAATTTACAGAGGAAAAGCCTACTAGTGGCTCCAACGCTAACTCAAAGTATGTTCCACCTGTACTACGAAGCTTATTAAAAATTAATCTTTCTTAGATCTGGTGATCCACATTAGAATTAATTACCCTCTGTGAAATGCATGCTAATGTTTGAAATGCAATCCAAATGTGGTTATTTCAAATCCAGAACACTCACACTGAGAATATATAAATTACAAAAAAAAAAAATATTTCAAATGCAAATATTTGGGATAGGAATCAGAATTTTTCAATTGGTTTACTCAGCATGTAATTAAAACGTAAAGCAGGAGAAACAGTCTGCAGAACACGCATACTTCCATAACAAAAACACTGCTGTATTTTTTCTTTACGAGGCAGCAAAAGAAATAAACTAATACCTGCATGACAAATTTGTACAAGTCTGTAAAACAAACAAGCTGTCCAGCACGCTGGAGAATGCCGTGGCTATTGCCTTCCAGGAGAGCGGAAGCACCCTTTCCAGCTGCGCTATCCCTGCTTCCTCTACCCACGTGCCACACTGCTGACTGCAGGCTGAAGGTAAGCGCAGTGGTCCTAACCTGAAGCATACTGTACATTGAGGAGCTGGTGATCCACACGTCCGTTGACCTGAGTAGGCGCAGCTGTGCTGTGCTGCACTGCACGTTTTACTTGGCCCTCAGGACTGTGCTGTGCTGCACGTATCCCTTGCGTAGGATGAACTTAGCTGGCCGACCATAAAGAGCGAGCCCACTCCTGCGTGGCTGTGGGCGTTCTCTGGCTCAAGCCAGGCATTAACATGCCGATCTGTCGGACTGGCTTCATCTTCACTGTAACGCTTTAGCAGCGATCTGAAATGCACATATTGTCTTTTTCAGAAAGTGCTGTTCTGAATATAGGTATTTTTATATCTTCCTCTTTCAGATAAGACATTTTATTTGGGCAATTTTAAATCCCCAGACTGAAGGAGGCTCCGTTCCTAACTTTTTTCCCCCCCCTGTAAAATACACTTTCTGCTCTTGCCTGTACTTCATTGAGATCTTTGCTGACTTCTTTTAAATCTCTTCACTGAATTATTTCTGAGGAGTTTGTAGTTTAATTATCATCCAAATTTTATTTTATTGAGATGATTTCAGGATGTGGTCTTGCTCAAAAATTAATTTCTGCATCCTCTTTTGAAATCATGGCATTTCTTTCAGTACAGTGCAATCTGAATTGGGAGGCTTCAGCATAAGGTTCTGAACAAAATTTTGAAACAAGCCTTATGCATTCAAAGAGACTTCCGCTATTGCTTACAGTAACCATATTAAACTTTTCTTTCGTGCTGTGGAAGGGAAAAAGCTGGATCCAAACAACTTGTTTTGATAAGCTCCTTTAGCGTAACAAAACTTACCACATGTAATACTTCACTGTGCTTGGGAACTAGGACGACTTTTTTTTTTTTTCCCCTTCCCAAGGAGGTCAAGGTCAATTCATCCGTTATGGATGTGATTGCTAGCAGACAGTTTTGCCACTACGAATTCGTACATCTGCAGGGCTTTGAATTATTCTCAAGAAAACTGTCGTGTTCAGAGTAAAGAGGTATACTGACAAATACTTCCCTTTTTTTTTTTTCTCCAAAGTATGCTGCTACCATGCACAGACCTCAGACACAAGAGAGAAGAGAAAAAAAAGACAGAGCTTTCTAAAACTTACTGCTTTTCCCTTGGCTCCACAATGAGATTCACAAGCCCACCTGAATTTAAAGCAGGTTTAATAAATATGTGAGATAAAGGAAAAGTCCCATTTATAACAATAAGTCTGGCTTATGGCACAATCGATCTATGAAATTATAGCTCTGAACTATTCAACAACAAACGAAGCAGCAGCTACGTGATATTCTACATGGAGAACAGCTGTAATTCAGCATTACTATGTAAAGAGAAAACCATGTCCAAAATGTCTAACCGTTCCCCATAAATTGGGCACATTCAAGAGTTTAATAATCCTTGCATAAAGAAACTAGGAAGTGTCTCAAGACAAAGTATAACATGAAAGCATGAATCTATTTCCTGTAATCTGCAGGAACCCAAACGCATATTAGGTCCAAATGACCTAAAACTGTCAAGACTTCTTTGTTAAGAATAAGTACTACACTGGCTTTTCACAAAGAAAATGTGCTTCTTATACACGTCACTGTCAGTCATTACTGCTGCCCACGGCAGAATTTCTTACAACGAGCAACCATGAAGTAAAGCGTAAGGGCAGAGACTTCACGCAGTTAGGCCTAACTGAGCACCTTTCCACAACCTTGAAATATGAAAATCATTCCCTAAAGAAGATGCGTTAGGCCATTGACCCCCTCTTTGTTAAGAAAAAGAACAAAAGAATCAAGCATAATGGAATAAATAACAAAATAAGGCTCAGAAGTGAAACTTTAAAAAAAAAAAAAACAACAGTTTCATTCTAATCTGTAAAGAGAACGACTGCAGGAGGTTTCACAACTAAACTGGTTCAGAACATTCTGAGCTTTTTCCTGGTGAAGTTGAGTAACATGCTGCTAAACAGCCATGAAAGTAAATCCTGTTTGTGGTCCGGAGTCAAATTATTTTACTCCCTCTAAATCTAAGGTATTTTTCAAAAACTAAACATTTTTTCCCTGCATAGCAAACATTCTTTTTACTGGAAGGGCTGATATATAATACGTTATATTTTTCAATGTAAAATTTAAGTATGCAAAAGATACAGCTCAGGCCTAGAAGCAATAGATGTATTAGCTGTAATGGATGTAACAACAAGCACATTAGCACCCTTTTTGTTGACAATTCCCGCGTTTCAATACTTAGAAAGGTGCTCTACACCAGAATATTGATGTAGCATAAGCTCAGGATATTTTATGTATACCATAGTTAAACACAAATATCTCCAAGTATATATAACTATATTCTAACAGTTTATATGAAAATATGGCTGTCCAGACAGACCAATTTGTCTAGTAAAATTAATCTACTTTACCACATAAGTGCAACAGTGTGCCAGCATCACTGGTAACAGTAGTATTTCAAGTTCTTTTAGAGAGAACAGTTTTGGCCCCTCAACACTCAGTGTGTTTCCAAAACACCTGGACTAGAAACGTCGTTCATACTTTAATTGCACTGTACTCCAATGCAGAGCCAGTATTTTATAACCTCAGCTCATGACATCCTGCCTTATCTACCACTTGAAAGAGTGATGAGTGCAAATCACAATGCCCTTTAGTGACACTAGTCATGAAATCTTTTGCTCCTAGAACCGAGACAGTAATACCATGACAGGAGTTAAAAATACAAATTACATGGTATTATACAGCCACTCCAAATCCATAATGAGTTTTTTTTTAAATAAGAAAAGAATATTTCTGAACAATCCCCCTACAGAAAATATAAGTGCCCATTTTCGTAATAAAATATATATGTATGTATGCATGTCTACCTATATCTATGCATACAGACATATATACATGCAAAAATAATTTCTCTCATAAAATCAGTCTCCAAGGATCTTACTGATCAGTTCCTCATTCAGTCAGAGTAGCAACTGGGAACTAGAATTTTACTCCTTGCGGTAGATGAGACTATGAATTTAAAGTATTTTCACTTGTTAAGCCTTTACAAAGCTTAAATTTCATATTTGAGAACTAAAACTCAAAAGTGTGATGGATATGCTAATGGCCCATTTAAACGTCAGAATAAAAACCTATTTTCTACTCTTGGTTAAGAGTATTTACAACTCTGAAGACTTGAATAAAGCCAATTCAGACAAAAGTTCAACCCCTGCTTTGCATTTATGCTTACAGACACACTTCGCTGAAAAGAATCTTTTCATCAGTCATACATGTTTTATGGGTACATGACAAATAATCCAAGTTCAGGTTTTCTTTGGAGATATTCTTTCTTTTGCTTTGGGGGGGGGGGGGCTTTTTTATTTTATTTTTCTAATTTCAGATCAACCTTTCAGCCTCCTAAACAGAGAGGGAGTTGGTGTTACCTAAAAACAAGTCAGTAAACATAATAAAACCACTTTAGTAATTTACAATTGAATTATGTTGTGGTTTTATTACACACGCACATGCATCTACAAATGAATTCAAGCACGAAAATGGCACCTACATAATAAACTAGAGATGCAGAAAACAAATCTATAGTGCGCTTATGCAACCTGTTATGTCTACAACTGCACTGTTTCCTCTTAGCTCATTTCTGAAACCTCTTTTTGAAACTCCATGAAATCTTTGAGCATCTTCAAAAGCTTAAAGTTTTTAAAAAATAAAAACAATTCACCAAAAGAAATTAAGTTAATTTTCTGCAGCATCTTGCGGTCAAACTGTTCATGACTCAGGCCTGTGAACTGCATTCCAGACATTGGAATATAACTTAAAGTCTAGTTTTTTTCCTCACGGCTTCCCAGAGCTAGTTTTGTACTACAGAAAAAAGAAGCTTTGTTTTTCCAGTTAGAATATATTTGTTTCTAAACCACTCTTGTTCACCACCACGCAAAAAGGGACCTTGAGATGTCATTTAGTCCATTTCTTAGCCCTAAAGCAGGAGCAACCATACCTCTAGACATTTCTGACAACTGCATTTCTAGACTTCTAGAAATGACAGCTACAAAATCCTACTGAGCAGTCTTGCCCATTGCTTCATTATCCTTGCAATTAGAACATTCTTCCTAATATGTAATCTAAACCTTTTGGATGCAGTTTAGGCCCATTACATGTTTTACCAGATGCTGTCCATGTAGGGAACGGAAGTCTTTCTCTTTGCAGCACCTTTTTTATGTTTAAAAACGTATCATGTTTCTAATTACTCTGAGCTTCCCTGTGCTCTTTTTTTGACACTAAACAATTGCAGCTCATTCAGTTTTAACTAGCAGATCAAGTTTTCTAGATCTCTGATCACATTTACTTGAGGATATTTGGGGGTTGGGGAGAAATCAGCCTATAACCTTCTTGAAGCTCAGCCACAGTAATCCAGTTAAAGCTTAACAACGCTAAGTAGTTTGAAAACTTGTGGCTGTAGCCGTGTTCGTTCATCCTAAAACCATACTTGTTAAATATGCCTTCTCTCACTCGGTTTATTTCTCTAAATAGGTTGTTACTAGGTGGAGAGACGAGCAAATCCTGTTGTTCTTCATTACTCAAATCCCTAGCGCTGTCAATTGAATAATTTCCTTCACATTTTTTGGTGTTTTATTATTGCTACTCTCAACATCAGGACCCGATTTTAAATACTTGTTCATTTGTTGTATGTTTTCCTATTTTGTTACTTCATTGACTTCTGGATTAGACTGGTCAGTCCCTAAAAAAAAATACCTTTCTTGCTATACAAAAGTTGACCTATATTCAGTAGGGTCCAAACATTTTATTTCACAATACCTACTCAGATTCATTTCTGGGCCTTCTGCTCCCCCTTTTTCCACAGAACAGAACGATTACTCGGGCATTATTCTCATTCAGCACATTTCTGAGTTCACTGAAATTATCTGTAATCTCTGATGAATCTAAAGGAAAAAGTAGAACTGATTACAACATGCACACCCATAAACAAGTAGCAGCAGAAGCCTACCTACCCCATTCAGCCTTAGCGCTGGGAAGGCTACATCAGCAACCCCCTGCTCCTTTTCTAGGATGCCCCCCTCTTCTTTCCAATACACCTTTCTAACAAGGACCATCTGGTGTCCTTGGGCAACTGGACATCTCACCGTGGCTGTACCTTTCTTACTGGTTTCGCTAACACAACCTTGCCTCATACACAAGCAGAAAGGCCAACCCGTCTCAGGTGGTCTGTTCAAGCTCGCAGAAAGACAACTAACAAACTGAAACCAATCAAGTATTCAGCATGTAACAAGTACCCTGTCTACAAATGCAGAGAGTACAATCATGGTTTGTGAGATCAGGCTGGATCTCCTGTCTGATTATTTCCGTATGCATTTCCAACTCTGTCCTCTCCACTGAGGCTCTACACAGAGGTGCCAGTTACTACAACTTCTAGTGGAAATGACTGTCTATGAGCAATTAGCCTAAAATCTCATCAGCATATTTCATCTCTACGGCTACAAAAAACACCCATCAGATGGTAACAACCAGCCATTTTATCATGGGGCTGTTTTTGAATCAGTCACTACAGAGACAGAAAGCTTCAGAATTCCTGTATCCTGTTCTGAATCAAAAGTGTTCCAAGAGGGAGCATTCCTCTTTTCCACCTTCCTCCACTGAACATATTCAGGAATCCTCATTCATCAGCAGAATTACTTTTGTATAACTTGGCACATCTGGAAAAAATGATTGCACCACATTTCATGCCGATAAAGGTTTTAAATTACAATCCAACTTTGGTTAAGATTATCCAAAGCGCAGAAAAATATATTCAGCTCCTGCTTAGGAGCAAGCAAGATACACACACACACACAAGCAATAAACAAAACAGGATTTGACAAGCATAATTTAAAGAATACAGAGATTTTGACCCAAGAAAAGTGCAGCAAAAGCTTTTCTAAATTCACTTTTGTTAATCGCTGAAATTCCAAATACAGAGCCTTGCATTGTAACTCACCCACGGCACAGATGGCACAAGAAGTGTCAAAATAAGCAACTCACTATTGCATTCCTCCAGAGATTGATGACATCTAGTCACATGATTTATCCGCTGCTGGGAGGATGTGGTAAGCTCTCTCCCAGGACTCCTGTCCTGGGGCAAATATTCAGCTCAGTGTTTGCCTCATGGCAAGCAGGTGTTTGAGCAACTTGTTAAGTTTTCCTTCAAGAGCACTCTGTAAAAACAAAAAGGTTAGGCAAAGAAATAGTAAACACTGTGAAATAAAAGGAAGTTAATTGTGCTAGGTGAAAGGCCATAAGTTTTGTTTAAGCACCTGCAAGAACAGCCGCAAATATGCTGACATTTATAAAACAGTCTCCTGGGAATTTATTGAAGACGTCAAAACTTTAGGCAGGCTGCCTTTCTTTTTCTCCCCTCTCAACCATCTGTGGATAACACGTGTGGAAGGGGGATGATCTGACAAAGCGTGAAACAACAAATTGCTAGTCTTCTAGTCTCTTATAACAAATATGAAAACAAAGATCAAAGCCATCATCTAGACTGGGCTGATTGTTTGGCTTTCTAAAGAACAGCCCAAAGCAAGCATAAGAAAATATTCAGCGCTCTAAACAATCAGTATCAAGAAAGCATAAACAAGAGCGTGTTTATCTCATACCTACCACAGAATCATCTTGGGTCCTTTTCCTGTTTAAACCTTTAGCCAGCTGGATATTCAATTTATTGAAAGCGTGTTTCCATTTACTAAGAACATGAGATTATTCCTAAAGATTGGAAATTAATTTTGAAGGAAACATCATGGAGAGAACACATACTGAGATGTGCATGAAACGAGGCAAATAGGAGAGCAAACAGGCACTCATATAACACATTGCACGCTCAAGGTGGCGAGGAGGGACTGACTTTTGGGGTTTTTCTGACCAGAAACTATTTTTATTACAACATACGACATATGCACACTGACGTAAAGTCTTATGTATATTTAATCTTGAAATATGAGGCACCTGCATTTAAAGCTGCCACTTAAAAATTAGGCTTGCATAACATTTAAACCCTCTTACTTTTTTGTTATAAGTGCATAACAGGCATTTCCTGTAATTCCGTACAAATTACACCCCCTACGACCACAGATATTTCGATCCTACTCCCCTAAGAGACAGAATCACAGAACAGTTGAGGTTAAAAAGGACCTCTGGAGAACATCTAGTCCAATCCCCCTGCTCAAACAGGATCATCTAGAGCACATGGCCCAGGTTGCTGCGCAGACAGCTTTTGAACATCTCCAGGGAAGAAGACTCCACAATCTCTTGGGGCAACCTGTCCCAGTGCTTGGTCACCCTCACAGTAAAGAAGCTTTTCCTCATGTTCAGACAGAACTTCCTGTGTTTCAGTTTGTGCCCGTTGCCTCTCGTCCTGTCACTGGGCACCACTGAGAAGAGACTGGTCCCATCCTCTTGACACCCTCCCTCCAGATATTTAAATACCTCAATAAGATCCCTCCTCAGTCTTCTCTTCTCCAGGCTGAACAGTCCCAGCTCTCTTAGCCTTTCCTCATAGGAAAGATGTTCCAGTCCCTTAAGCTTCTTTGTGGCCCTTTGCTGGACTTGTTCCAGTAGCTCTATGTCTCTTTTGTACTGGGGAGCTCAGAACTGGACACAGCACTCCAGACGTGTTTCACCAGTGCTGAGCAGA